GATTTCAAACTATCAAAGGAACTGAATTCTACATACAAACTATGAGTCAGGTGTGCAAGAATTTTGGAAATTTTCTTCCCCTATGTCTTTCTTAATAAAGACAGTTACCTACAGATTTACTCTCTGCAATGGCCAAGAGATCTCCTTGACTAAATGTCCAGACCCAAAGACGCAAACAGTCATACTCGGCCTCAGATCCACGCAGAAGAGGGAATGGAAAACAGGAAGCCCCAGAGCAGCAGCAGGCGTTTCTCCCAGCGTGAGTCCTTACGGCGTCTACACAATTGTCCCAGGAGCTATTCTTTTTGGCCTGCAGATGACATTCAAGTTGAGAGTACCACACAAAAGACTCAAGACAGACACTCTGGCTGAGAAGCCCCACAGTTCTACTAGAAACTAGGGTCACTCTAACAGCTCCACAGGCATGGCTCTCGGAATCTCCAGGAACAGGCTCAGTTATAAGGTCATTGTGTTCAGAGACTGCTTCCACTCAGACATTGCGGGTCCTCCTAGGCATGATGCTTTGTGCTGACCAGGGGCAATTTTTAGCATAAGCCATGCTGCTTAATAACAGCTGATATTTAACTTCTATCCAGCATTTCAGGGAACAGATCTCGAAAGGTAACGGGCTCCAGATCTACATTCCATACAAAGGCAAAAAGATACTGTCAATCTGCTATGTTCCAAACAATGAGAGAAATCCAAGAAATGGTGTTACCAACCTAGACAGGGAAGAAAAACTCTAGGATCACAGCTGCAGTGTGGGTGTAGGAAGCAATCTTTTCAAAATTAACCAATGATAAACAGTATGCATTAGAAGCTTCTGTAACAGGAAAAGAGGCAGTTAGGAACTTCAGGAAAACAAAAGGGTGCTTAACACAAAGCCATTTACATGCGGAATAATTCTGAGTATTCATAAGAAAATCTAATCTATTTGCTCTGAACACAGTATGATTCTTTCCAGAGGGGCACATGCTTAGTGACACAGAATTTTTCCCTCACTGAAGATCTAACCAATTACTAGATATGTTGTGCATAATGTTTATATGATCAGAATGTTAAAATGAATTCTGAGTGGTTTTCCCTTTGAGGACGTTTTATAGTTAACACATGGAAGATTTAACTTTAAGTTACAGAACAAAAAACAAGCATCATAAAACTGTGTAATGTCAGTACGGCTGGACAATGAATAGAAGAAGGGAAGTAGAAAGAAGAAAGATGGGGTGATAATTTCATCGTCATAGTAGGAAGTCAAGAAATTCCATCCATGACTGATAGATCAAAAAAACAGGTTTAAGTAGATTATTTAATTTTAAAAGATAACAGCAGAACTGAAATGAAAAACATAACAAAAATGAGTAATTAAAGTGAACTTCGTTTCTTATTTAAAAAATAATGTAGCTGAAAAGTAGAGGCATACAGTATTATTGATAGTTGAAAAGTTACAAAAACTTAAAAAGTCACAAGTTGTTACCTCTGAGTAGAATATAGAAAATGAAAAAATAAAATTTTACCTTTTGATTGCCTCTTTTTTTAAACCATGTATTCCAGGCTGATCTTAAACTCACTATGTAGCCCAGGCTGGCCTTGATCTCATGGTGAGCCTCCTGCCTCAGCCTCCAGAATGCTAGGATTACAGATGTGCACAACCATGCCCCACGTGCTTATGTATTATTTAATTTTTCATTATATTTATAATTTAAAAGCTGATTTTAATAAGCAGATTTAAGGTTCAACAATTTAGAGGACAGCAGAAAAAAGGAATCAATGATTGCAAAGTGAGGTCTTCTGAAATAAGGCTGCAAGTATAGCCGAAAGGACTCAAGAGAGCTAGGAAGGAAAGTCACCATCGTGCCCTACACAAAGCCCAAAGAGAAGCTAAGAAAGGCTGGGGCAGCTCGACCCGAAGGATGTTGCAGCAAACAGAAGAAATCTGTTTCAACTTCCCCAGAAGGCAGAATACTAGCATGAGCTGGAGCTCTAAAGATCTGTGCGATTTGTAGAAGGATTCACACTCGACTTCAGTGAAGAATGGACTGCAGTTCCTGAAGCTAACAGCATCCTCTCTTGAGGTCTGCTCCGTGGTGTACTGGTTAAGGAGGAAACTTTTATCACTTGTGTATCTTCTCCTATGGCCTAACCTGAAAATGGGAGGTACCAGACATTCAGGTTATACCCAAAAATGCAAAACCATAACCTGTGGTTCTCATGAGTCTTCCAGGGTTAAAAGACACTTGTCTTCTTTTCACTACTCTTTTTTTCTAAAATAGTTTATTCATTTATTTATAATTAGTATATGTATTACTGTTACAGCATCTAAGTGCTAAAACACAAAGTTAAAAACCAATTATTCAAATCCATCAACGAATGGAAACAAACTAAAAAAGATATTGGTGACTTACTACAAAGCCATTGAGAGAGGATCTAATGAGTGAATAGGTTTTTGAATTTTTAAAATAATTAACTAAATACAATGTCACTACGATATAAACCTGGTCAACAGTTATAAACCAGGTCTTGTTTAAAATGCACCTTTAACAGCAGCTCCAACCAACGGACATAAAGGAGGTGAGGAAAGCACTTTACTACATACAAAGGACAGAGGGAGTGGGCAAGACACGCCCAAGACGGCGAGCTCTGAAGAAGCACAGTGTCTGGCGCAAGGGCTGCACACTCGATAAGCAAAGACTCTGGAGAGAAATACGGGTGCCTTTTGGCTCATGGGCCTTGAAGCCTTCTGCCTGCATCAGAAGGGTCCGGGTGTCTGGGGGTGGGTCAATACTTTATCCCCCATGGCATCACCTCCCTTGGCTTGGACTCTTCAGTAATGCTGCGGGTACCAGGACGCAACGTGGGACACTGGAAAGAGCCCTGGGCTTAAATCTTAACTCTGTCCCCTGGAAAAGATATTTAACCTCTCTGAATTTCATCTTCTTTTTCATAAAATTAGGACAATATCCCACAGGGGTTTTGTATGAGACAAAATGAGATTAGACAGATGCAAGTGACTACTGCTTAGAAATGATGCTTAGTTTTCTTACACTCCCAGCCACACCATCCTGCATTGTGGCAATGTGACTAGCTGTCCCCAGAGGACTGTGAAGGAAAGACTATGTACTATACCTAGGCCAGTGCTTTTCAGAACCAAGTGTATGTTTTCTCCTTTCTTTCCCAACCTGCCGGAGAGATGCAGAGGCTGCTGCTGAGGCCCTAAGTGATGGAGGAACAAGCTACGGGGAAGGGCCACTTAATGGGAACACCCAACTGCTATGCAATGGAGAAATGCACTCTTACGCTAAGCCACTGAAACACTGAAGCTTGTTACAACAGCTGGTGCTATCTTAATCAATACGAACATGCTACTTGAAAATTACTGTAGTAGTGGCGATGGTGTCAAACACTGCATCCACCAGGCCATACGTATCATTAAGAATTCTTGACAAAGTAAGCACATGAGAAGATGTTCAGCATCATAGCCATCGGGGAAATGCAGATCAAATCCACAGTGATACGCCCTTCACACTCACTAGGATGGCTGTGAGGAAAAAGACGGGCGGCAATAAGTGGCGAGAGGATGTGAAAAACTGGACCCCTCACAGGTACAGAAATTCTAGTACAAGGCATATACCCAAGAAGACTGAAAAAGTATGTTCAGATAAAAATACAGATGTAAGTGTTCACAGCAACATAATTTATAATTGCCAAAAAGTGGAAACAATACAAATGAATTGATGACTGGATTAAAAAGTGGCCATTCAATAGAATATTATTCTGCCCTGAAAAGGAATGAAATTCTGATGGATGAGCCTGGAAAACATTATTGCAAGTGGAAGAAGCTAGGAATAAAAGGTCACATCCTATGTGATTCCATCTCTACAAATGTTCACAACAAGTAAATTCATACCACAAGCAGTTGGTAATTGGATGTGGGAACTGAGGAAGTTGGAGGAGCTGCTAATATAGAGAAGATATCTTTTCAGGGTGATGAAAGTATTCTGGAACATTAGATAGTCACACAAGTCTGAGTGTGCTAAAAACTGTTAAACTGTACACTTTGAGAGGATGGATTTATAGTCTACGAATCTGACATGCACCCCAGCCAAAGACCCCTGTGTTGAATGACGGTTGCGTCACCAGACTATGATGCTACTGGCTAACACTGGACCTTCCAGGAGCACACTGGGCCCCCAGCTCCTTCCTGTCTCTCTCCGCTTTCCGGCTGCCTCAGGGTGAACAGGCCTCCTCCGCCACACGCTCCTGCCACAGCAGACCATGCCACTGTGTGCCCAAAGCAACAGGGCCAAGACACCATGGACAGACGCATCTGAGACTGTGAGCCAAAACAAACCTCTCCTCTTCAGAAGTAGATTTCCTCAGGTGTTTTGCCACAGTGATGGAAAATTAACATAGAATCATAACTCAATTTCCAAAAGAAAAGGAAATATCAGCTATCAGCTCTGTCATGCTGCTCTGAGAATCAGTCTCCAGTGCCAAATGCATTAAACAACTGTCTGCCTAAGAACCACCTAAGGTACAAGGTTTTTCAAGTTTAGGTGAAAGTATAGCTAAAACCGAGATGAGATAAAATTTTTAGCTAATTCTAAGAATGACATGAGGGTGGGTATAAGACAGAACACCTCAGAATATCACTTCAAGAAAACTCTGTAAGGAAAGAGAAACTCCTCAAAGGCAGTGTGTGATATAGTGAGGGTTTGAGAAAGAACTGCATGAAGTATCTTCCTTCTCTCTGTTCAGATACATCTGTCATTTTCAAAGATGTCAATCAAGTTCAAATCATAAGATAAAGATTATTCAGTCCCATCAAGTAAACTGTCATATAAGTACTTAGTAGTTAAAACTCAAGAAGCACTGGAATGTTTCCAACCCCTAGGTAAGAATGTAATTCGGTGTTTCCATGAACCTTCGTGGTTTGGAACCTCAGAACCCACCAGAAGACTGCCATTGCCATTAGAACAAAGCCCTGAAAGGGAGCGACTTACTTGCAAGAGACTTTCGTTCTGTCAGCCACCATGGTCCACTGTTGCTGGTTGGTAGAAACTTCAACATAGTAGCTATAGCTTCGATCATCACAGTCCCAAAGTAGTAGCCTGAACAGAGAGGAAAACATGGTTTCTGTACATGTTCCGACTGGTACAGGGCTACAGACGCAAAGCTAAGGGTGTCTGTGTCCAGCTTACGCCTCCCACCTGCCTCATCTGCCCTAACGCACTTCCAGGACTGGGGAAAGAATGCACATCCTAACGGGAGTTTAAAGAGAGCAGCTAGAGTCCATCCGTAGCGCATCTCTTTAGGTTATTTCACCAACTGCCCAACTTCTGCAGACCTCCTGGTGGCCAAGTTCCAGAGACTGGATCAGGAGGGCACTAACGTCCCCCGCTCTTTCCGGACTTCCCCAGCTCTCATCTCCAGCTGGCAGGGCTGACCAAAGCTAACACCCTGGTGACTACTGCTGATGGAGGAATCCGCACTTTCTAACTGGGAATAATGAGCATGACCTTTGACCTTTATCATGGTTTAGGGTTCTTCTCACTAACATTTTTGCATACCTTTGGCAAAAATGATCCGATTTGGAGATACGGTCATCCTTTAGTACCCATGGGAAATTGGTTCAGTTATATTTTAAGGAAATAGTGACCAAAAAAAGTCTATACATCTTTAGGACAGACAAAAACATTGTTAAAAACTTTTGACTAGATCCACAGGTCCTATCTCCTCTGTGGCACACAAAGAATGCAGACAGAAAGAGAGGCCAACATATTTAGTAAAACTTCCTTACTTAATATTCGGGAATTCCTATCTTGATCTTACTCTTATTCCCCTCTTCTGCCCCGTAAGAATTTAAGCATTGCTGATAGATTCCATCTACATGAAGCCCAAAGACAAAATTTATGGTTTCAGAATAGTAGTTACTTCTGGAGAAGGTACTGATTTGGAAACAGTATGAAGGAACATTCTAGAATATCAAAACTGTGATAATTTTCATTCTGAGTGGTAGTTACATGAACATATACATAAAAGACTTATATGTTCTCAGTGATTTGTGCACTCATTTAAAAAAATAATTTACAAGAATAACCTGCACATTGCAATACAGGAGCTGCATTTTGCTTCATAAAGTGCCACAGAGGAGATATTGTTTTTTGCTATGATTTCTGCACAAGATATGTGCAGCATCTTATTGTTTCATAGTGGGTCACATGCATTTGCTTTCTCTGTCAGCTAGGACTGTGAGCCTTCTAAATCAGTGCCCATGCCAAACTGACCTCTCCACCCTCAGTACACGGCAGTGTCTCACACAGCGCTTACAGTCAGTGTATGTCTGCTGGGCAAATACATTCCTTGTAACGACCGTAATAATGACTGTGATGTCCTGCACTCCTTTAATGCTGTGTGTCAGGCCCTCAGTCCTTCTAATTATCCTAGTAGCAAGTACTATTTATCCACATCGAATTGTAGATGGCGACTGAGGCTGACTCAGTGAGAGTGAGTGATACAGGATTCCAGCCTAGCATCCTGACCCCAAACCCCGTTCTGTAACCCCACTGGGAAATGTTTCCTTTACTGCCAGTTCATGTACCTGGGTCATAAATTTCAACCTGTAACCTATCACTCTATAAAAGTACTTTGTGTCCTTTCCCCTTAATCTTGCAATTACAATCCCTGCAAACCTTTGGCACAAGTTCAGCCCGGTGTCGCCAAGCTGCTGCTGAGGATTAGCACTGCCCCTGTATTCCTTCCACTTAGTTCTTTTTTCAATTGCAGTTCTGCTGGCTATACAGTAATATATATTTGCAATCTAAACTAGAAATTTTAAATTAATTAATTATTGTCTTTTATTTGATATCTCTGGTAACAGGTTCAATGGGATACACTGTTGAGGCCATTTTCCCCATTCAGATTCTGAAATATTTATTAAGAGTCACAATTGTCAAATTCCTATCTTTTCAGATAATAATGAGTTAGTGTTTCTAGAAAGAATCAAAATGAAAACAACCAGCCCTTTCTGAGATAAACCCTAACCAGATCTCAAAATATTTCATAGAAAAAAACTGTCTTGTAGACATGATATACAGGGCAGATTAAAAAAGATGATCAATTATGACCTAGTAGAGATGATCTAGTACATCTAGTAGAGATTCTTAAGAGTGACAGCATATTCTAAGAGTTTGTAAGGTTGTGCCTTACATCCTCTGGAAGTATCTTATTCTATAAAGTTCTCCCATTTGTTTTAAGGAAATTATTAGTTAAAATAACGATCATCTGTAATTCCAGTACTGTTGTAAATATATGCACACAATGCCTATTATCTGTTACTTGCTTATTTTGCTTAATGATGATCTACCATGAAGATCTTTCTGTATTATCAACGTTCTTCTACACTGTATCTACTGACTTCATAGTACTTCACGGTATGGGTGTCCTTTAGTTTATTTAATCAGCCTCATCATTAGACATGTAGGTGTCCAACTGATAATAGTCCAACTGAAGCTTCAGTGTCCAGTTGGTCATATTTAGTGAAACTTCAGATGAACACTTTTAGCTAAATCTGTGAGTACTGCCTTTGAAAGTCTAAGTAAAACTCCCATAGCAAGGCATACAAACATTTTGAGGATTTGGTAAAATAGCTGTATTTCTCTCTTCTCCCCATCCTTCCAAAAGAAATTGTAACAAGTTACGTCACACTACCAGCAGTAACGAAGAAATGCCTATCTCTGTGCACTGTCACCAATGTTATCCATTACCTCCAAATATTTTGGGCCTGAGGAGGCGGCACAAACCCCGAATCCCAGTTACTTAAGAGGCTGAGGCAGGAGAACCACAGTTGGGACCCTATCTCAAAATAAAGCCTTAGAAAAAGGGCTGGGGATACAGACGGTAGGGTGCTTGCACAGCAAGTGTACGGCCCTGTTTTTGGTCCCCAGCACTGACAAAAAGAGGAGGAGGAGAGGCGAGAGGACAGGAGAGGACAGGAGGGGAAGGGTGGAAAAAAGTTACAAATATTGCTAATTTAACAGAGGACATATATTTCATCAAGTGGCAGGTTTTTACTTGCCAGTGAACTGGAACATTCCACCTATTTTCTGCTTATATTTATCCTTTTGTTAATGACTAACAAAATGTCCCCTGTACCTGAAGGATATTAATCCACTGCCCATCAGAGTCTGCATGCTGAAGATATTAATTTTTATTAGCCCAGTCTATCGATCTTTACCTCAATAATTTCTCCTGGCCTAAATTCTTTTCTTCTGAACAGCAGCCAAGAGCGCACCCGGGCTGACACATCTCCTCTCTATTCCTCTATTAGGAGTCCCCAGGGGCTGGCGACATGGGGTCACCTGACTCCTGAGTGCAAAAAGGACACTGATGTGCCTCACATTATCAAGGCCGGGGCTGACTTGCACTGTGGAGTTTTAAGAAGGATTCCAATTTATGTGCCAGGATGCTATTTGCTTAGAATGCAGGCTTCACTAGAAATGAAAATCCTTTTGTCGGTTCAACTGAGAAAGCAAGCGCACTTTAAGGACATTAAAGGAAAAATTAACTCCATCTCCTTTTTTCCATGGAGAGGAATTTGGTTATAATGAGGCACAAGTGAAAAGCCCGACTCCCTTCACTTCTTTCCCGCCTGCAAAGCCCTTCTTGTGTCTTCGCACTCGCAGCAACACCGCGACATTTCTGACTTGTAATCTGGCTGGGAATGTTTGCACAGTGCGCGCGCCAAGGACAGACACGACTCATGACCTTAACTGAGACAGCTCCTTAAACACCCCCCCATCCACACCCCTCCACCCATTCGGCAGCAGCCATTTCCACCGGGGCTGAATAAAAGCAGCCAATGGCCGAGGGCTGATGTGGGCTGGGTCTGCACTTAGCTGTTGCTACAAACCTCTCTCTCTAATGAGCACTGCATGAAATGCCTGGTGATAGTAAATGCTGTGTCCTTCATCTTCTCTTATTCTTATTGCGGAGTTTCCCTAAAAGCAGTGAAGTGCTGGGATTTTTTAAATTGATTAGCTGATGTGATTTTGCTTACATCTTCCATAAATGCTCTGGCTGGTTGCATACCATTGATTACCAGGGGTTCACTTTACACCAACTAATTGCTCTCCTTGCTGGTGTTTTGATACAAAATTCAATAGCGAATATGATTTCAAAACTCTTGCCTCTGTGGCTTGAGCCAGAAGTGACTCGAGGCAAACCCAGTGGACTGAGTTTTCCCTTCTTAAAATAATTGCTCTCTCATCAGTCTGTGAAGAAAGTTTCCAAATTGTAGCATTCTAATTGGAAAGTCTGCATTATGCATGCGATGACAAACTATGTTGTGCTGAATGGCATTTTTTCATCCCTTTCTTCAGGGATTAATTCTATGCCAGATTGAAAACAATGGCTGAGGTCTAACAGTTGAGATCAACAGCTTCTCTGCTGAACAGTGCCTTTTAGACCAGGAATGAGGGCCTGTTTTGCCTGTTTCTAATTGCCCATAGTTTGTTAGGGGTTCTGCTGCAAGGCCTGAGACCACACTGCTGCTGTTGCTAGGTCTTCTTATTTGAAAACAATCAACTAGAAGAAGATCAAGTTTTAGTAGTAACATAATAACTTATCAAATCCATTTCTAATCATGCAGTCAAGGAAAGACACTGAACCTCAAAATTCATAACTAAGAAGGATTCTTTATTCAAGATTCCTTAAATTCTTCAGAAATAATTGTTTTACATTCAACAATTTAAAAATAATTATTTACCAAGGACCAAGCAGATAGCATTAGGCAAATCACCTGGCTTACACTCCAGTTTTGCCCCTTGTGAATTTCAAGGTCCAGATCTGATGGCTTCCCAGGCTCTTCCAGGGATGGCAGGAAGCTCCCTTTGGATGGCAGTTCTATTATAATACTTTGCTATTTCACAGGCAGCAGAGGTTTTTCTCTTTCTTTCTTTCTTTTTTGTTTGGTACATAACCCTTCTCTGAGGACTGATTCCAGCCAAACTTCAAAGCAGTTGTGGCAAGTTCCTAAGTGTGTGTCCTGTACACCTGACTGCATCCTGGGAAGCCACACAACTCATGCTGCGCTAATCAGATTTCCTTTCTC